CGATGGGGTCCCCACGTATAACACCAATTGTAGAGGGTTCGCTTCGCCTCCTACCCTCACTAACGACTAGTGTGGTGGAGGCCGAGGGTGCCCCACAAGAGATGGAGAAGGAGAGAGAGGGTGGAGCCATGGCGAACGGAATAGGGTCGAATTAATTCAGAAGTGAATGGCCATTAATTCATTGCCCATTATGATAATGTCTCTCATGTATTTATAGGCCATAACCTCAGACAGGAATAAATTACAATTGCCCCCAGGCTAACCTGGGTTTTTCTTTACATTGATACAGGGGCCCTGTGGTCTTTTGACCTCTCACCCTGAACCACTCTGCTAGCGTCACCAGGAGCTCCGCCAGAGGGGACCATGAATTTTCATCTTCTTTCGAATGACGATTGAGTAGGCGTTGCAAGGGTTCTCCCGCCAACGAGGCCTCATAGACGGTGTGGGACATAGTCCCTAGGTACCCAGCAAGGAAAGGCAAAGACCGAGTTTGACTAGGACTCTCGTATGTAATTCTATTAGTATTGCTACCTTGTAATCCTACTATGACTCCTATATTGTAACCGACTAGGAGACTTGCCTCCTAGACTATATAAAGGAGGGCAGGGCTCCCTAGATCGGTAGACGGTGGCTGTACAAACAATCATACACAACAATCCAACGCAAAGGCATCGTGCCGCACTGGATGTAAGGTATTACGCGTATTGTGGTCTGAACCAGTATAAATTGCTTGTCTTCGCGTTTACCACCAAGTTCTGAATACGCCGAAGCCCACCAAACTCTGTCCTAGGTAACCTCATGACAGGTTGTTGGTCGTCAAACACCGATAGACGGTGCTCGATCCTACAGAAATAGAGTTAAAGTATTCCTTGCCGAGAGTGTTCGTGAGGCAGCGCTGGGGTTTGTCAATGAAGACGTCCTGAAACCCATGCCTACTAGAGCGACGACGGAACCCTAGGCGGTCCTTGTCGACAGTGAGACGACCCTGCACACAGTAGTACTGCGGGGCCAAAGACAGACAAGGGTCCCGCCCAGGCCAAGGCGAGGGTGGGGTGTCGCACGGTGGGCATTCACCCAACAATGGGCGAAGCGGACTCAGCAGACGAAGGAGGTGAAGGTAGAAAATGGAAACCGGACCAAACATGCAGAGGGAAATATATATAGCAAATGTATTTGTTTGTTGCAGCGGAACTCAATACATACAGGAATCAGATTTTGTATCATCGTTAAATATGAGTTGTTCTAATTCATATGAGCGAAAGTCATGAGTCCGGGTCATATACGATGTACGTAGGACATGAATATAGAGGATAGAGGAGGGTGTGTGTGTATGTATAACTGCTGTTCTGCAGCTGGTCATAGAATGAGTTACGATAATTACTATTCTAATTTACGAGATTACAGTAACTCTTTACTAAGTAATTTACTAGAACATTATGGTAAATATCACCGTGAGTTGTAGTAACACGAGTATCGTAAATGCATATTCATGTTATCGTAAATTGGTACAAACATTATCGTAAATCAAGGTGGCTATAGAATAAGTTATTCTATGGCCAGCTGCAGAATAGCCTTTTATATATATATATATATATATATATATATATATATATATAATTCCTATTCAAGTTATTTATGATCAGGGATCTATTAGAACTAGGATTAACCATTTAGGTTACCTCGTGTCATATAAAATAGGAGGGCTCTAGACTAATAGAGAAACAACTTCCACATTTACAAAATTAGTTAGGGAAGGTGGAGAAAAAATGGACTGAACTTTTTGGCTCTTTAATACTAGGTATAGATTTATAAAGATCTACTCCGGTCTCAATTAGGTCTGGACAAAAAAACTCAGAGCTCATTAGCTCGCTGGCTCACGGTTGGCTCGCGTCGGCGAGCTGAGCTAAGCTTCAAGAGCTTTTCTAAATCTCACTCTCTAAATCATCATTTGGAGAGTCATTTGCACAAAAATCGTTAGTTGTAACTTTCCACTCTCCAACAGTTTTTCTATATCTCATGCGCACTCTAGGGAGCCATTCTCGTCATAGGCGGAGCCAGCGGGTGGCACAGGTATGGTGCGGCATACCCTAGGCTGATGCAAGTTGCAGGGGTGAATCCAGCAATATTGCGTGGTGGTCGCCAGACCTGGCGAACATCTCTTTCTCCCTCGCAGATAACTTCACCGCTTCAGCTCTGGCCTCTAGGGTCTCAGCGGCGCGGCGGCATGCCCGTCGAAATTGCGAGGAACTGACGAAGACACAAAGGAGAAAGGGAACAGCAAACGACTGATACACATTTGGGCTCCTGGCCTATCGCCTCCATCTAGACAAAAATGGGCCGCGTAGCATTCACATCACATGAGCAGAGTCGTAGGCCATAGCCCAAAAGCGTCGTAGGCCAGTAGATGTGCAGCGTAGCATCGACATGCATGCATATTTGCTGATGTTTTTTCCCCATTATCGATAACATTTATACTTCATACAAACGTGGCACTCCGCAAGTTTGCTCAATAGATGAAAAAATTATAAGCTATAATTACATATCAATTATCATTAACTGATGTTAGATTTCATCATTTCTTGAAGGGATACTTTAACTGCATTACTACCATTTGTTTTTCTATATACTTCATCACACATACTTTTGTGGTATAGAAAGTTCGCCATAGGATATGAGAATTTTGATGCATTATTACCACACACATATTTTTGTTTTCCTATATACTTCATCACACATATCTTGAAGGGATACCGTAAATTTACTACATCACACATGTTAGATTGCATATGAGAAATTTGATGTGGCATACCCTTTGTCAAAATACTAGATCCGCCACTGGTTCTTGTCTTCTATTTTTTGCTAGCGAAAGATCCAGAATAGAAGATAGCTATATTTAGATGACCATTTTAAAAAACTATTGGAGGGTAGTTTCTTACTAAAAAAAATTATTCCTAACATTTAAAAAAGGATATGGAGTGTCTCTCACACATGCTGCTTTACTCGTAAGCCGTTCACGAGTCTAACGAGCGCTTCTAGGAACTGTGTAGCAACAAAATCGTCTATGCTTTAAGCCCACAGGCCACGGCCCATTCGCCTGCCTGCCCAACCCTATATCCGTGATCCCATCCCACCCCGGCCCCCGCCCCCACACGTCCTGACAAGGTCTTCACGCCAGGTTACCTCATGCGAAGCTCTACCGCCTACACTCCCTCAAAGCTCTGCTTGATTTTGATTTATTTTGAGATTGGGCTGGATGCTGTGACTTGCTGTCAGGTCTTCAATGGATTCTACATATCTTTCAGCCTGTTCGTTTGCTCGTATACGATCGTGGATTATAAACTGGAACAGTATTTTTCTCTCACACCAAACGGCCAGCAGTAAATAATCCACGATCGTTTACGACGAAACGAACAGGCTGCTTGCCGTGTGATTGGACTCTCTCAAAATGGATTAATTTGCTTCTTTCTCTTGATACTGTACCGACGATACGTGAACCATGTTTTTTTGTTGATTTCTTCTTGGAAGTGGAATTTTTCTAATTCGCTATACTGAATCAAACATACCTGAACGCTGATTTCTTTGTTGAACGGAATTTTTACTGTCTATAGCTCACGAGCTTACCGAGCTAACTCAGCTTATTACCAAGCCAAGCCGAGCTGACTTTTTTAACTCGCTTCGTGCCGAGCCGAGCCAGCTTGGTTTGATACCAAGCTGCACCAAGCCAAGCCGAGCCGGCTCGATATATAGCCCTACCCTCAATTGAAGCTGCCCTTCTATCTTTTATCTTTTGTTTCTGGCTCCACCCGTGAGCTTTGTCATGTTGATAATGTATTGTAAACATATTGCTGGCGATCAGGATATTTCCCTCTCTTGCTCTTAAGATCTTCTCATTTAATACAAACAAAAGAATATAGAGACATAAAATAAGAGATTATTTTTTATTGTCTTAATATTAATGTTATGTATTATATATATAATTCTGATAATAAGATCTAAGAGTTTAATAATAATCCACTAGAGAATTCATTCTTCTCTTATTTTTATACTTGAGTGAATATGTTCTACATCGTACTTATTTGACTGTCATGCTGAAGGTATATAACCATGTGTTTTATGCAGTTTCAACTCATGAATTTTTTTGCACCATATGATTGAGATCCAACAGCTTCTACCCTTCTTCTACCTCCAGCCTCTAGCCTTCTTCTACCTACAGACAATCACAAATCACAAGATCACATATCCACAGATCACAGATCACAAGAAACATTTTTTTCTATGGAAAGACAAATCACAGATCACAGAGGAGGAGGAGGAGAGGCCTACCTGGAGCCGGATCCGTTGCCGCCACCGCCGCCGTCACCGCCACTGCCATGGCTGGCGCGGGGCCTAGACGTCATATATGGCCACGCGCAGCGTGCACCCGTGGCCGTGGCGTTCCATCCGGTGAGCACGGGCGGGTTGCCCACGCGCGCTTGATCTGGAGCAGCAGCTGCGCCTCGTTCGCCGCCTGCTGGGAGGACTGCGGGGCCGCACGGGGCAGCAGGGAAGCAGCGCGAGCAGCAGGCCGGGGAGGCACGGGCGTGGTGCCTCCATGCACGCCGGTTATGACATGTGGGCCTTAGACGTCATAGATACAAAAAAATTCATGTGTTTTTTGGTGCTAAAACACATGTGTGTTGTATAGCATTTCTGGAAAACAAAGCTTTCTGCCAAAATGTTATTGCATCCAAGTGTCAATGAAGCAGAGCGTCCAACCCCAGCCGGCCTATGGGGCCAAAGCCATCTTGCCAAGGTGGACCCACCTGGTGTCAACGGCCAACTCGGTAATAAAAGGCACAAGTACGCAGACGGTTTCCCATCTTTCAAATTCCAAACACGAACCTTCTAAAAATCGAAACCCCACCTCAGTACCTCACCGGAGCAGTAGCCGTTGTTGAGATTGAGAGGTCTCACTTCTGTTCCCCATCGCTCGGAGGTTTGTCCCAGGCGATCGGAAGGGGATGGAGTTCACGGAGGCGTTCAAGCAGACGGGCCCGTGCTCCTTCTCCCCCGACTCGTGCTTCCTCGCTATTGCCGTAGACTATCGCCTCATCGTCCGGGACATCGTCTCACTGAAGGTACCCGCACCGTTCATTCCCACATTGCCTTTATCTCGGTCCATCCCTAGTCTCGTGAGTCGGAATGTGGGTTTAGGGTTTGGGTTCCTGGTGTAATCGCTGAATCTGGAATTGTGGACTTGGGTAATGTGACTCCGTGCTGCTCTAATTTGAGCCTGTTGTTCCATGAAATGCGCCTACTTCTACCGATCTGAAATCCTAGGGTTCAGGACTAGATTGTGCTTAGCTCAATTTCACGGTGCACTTTGGATCGATGAATCTTTGTACCTAATGGTAAGGGGCCTTGTTAGATATTTAGGCATTTTCATTATCAGTTTAATCCAGAAATATAACATCAGCGGGTTCGTGATGGCATATATGTGCATGTGTATATCTCTAACGAACACTACAACATGCAGAGATGACATACAGATGAATACAGTAAAAACAAAAAGTACAGTAATCACAGAGATTAGATTGTACCTAGCGAAGGGTCCCATGCCGAGGGCATCGGAGGCTCCATTCGCACTAGTTGACATAGTGCGTTGCTCGAAGTCGCGGACCACAGTCGGTGCAGGATGATGTTCGCAGTGCAGTCCCATGAACGGATTACCAGGAAGAAGATGCCTTTCTGTTCCATAGGCAATCACCGGGAAGAAGACGGGTTCCGAGAGCGATCACCACCAGGAAGAAGGCGTACGTGGACGAGCAGTCACGGATCGCTCCCCAAAAACCTAATCGCCGCACACCCCGTGCAAGGTTCTCAGGCGGGCGAGGGTTCTAGAGGCACCTGCTCTCCCGCTACTCCATGCGGGCAGAGGTACGGGACAGGGAAGCCAGAGGGCTGCTGAGATGTGGTTTCTCTTGGGAGAGCGGTTGCAGAAGACAGACGGAGATCTAGACTGATGGAGGACTGCGGATATATGGCTGCGACGGGAAGGGAGAAAGACAACGGATAATCCTAGGAGACGGAGAAGAGGAAGGGACGGTAACTGACGCACTCAGTTCGCCTCCACTATCAAAGAGAGTAACTCCCGTGATTATGTGGATTAAGTGGCAAAAGACTAGCCACGCATGCACGCTTGCTCGCCGCCCGCCTGCCTCGCCACGCCACGGCACGGCCACGGCCACAGCCTCGGCCCGGCCCGGCCCGGCAGGCGGCGGGGGCGGCGCGCGTGTGTGTAGCACGCCTATGTCCTTTTCTCAGCTTCTCAATTAAGATGAATAATTTCCAACCATATAAGCTGAGTCAACGTTCAGTCAAAATCCCATATGGTATTAAACCATACAACGCTTAATGTTACGTACCATAGAGTTTTATTTGATTTATTAAATATTATATGGGCCAAGCCCATATTATATCCAACAATCCCCATCAAACTCTAGGGTTTGTAACAAAGTAGTCTTAGAACCACATTTCTTTTATATACTAGTGTTTTGATGGAGACTGTTAAGTTGAACATCCATCTAGAGCAATAGTTTCACTCAGTCATAACTGAACAATGGACTAAGTCTTGAATTGCCAGTTTTGGATGAGGTGAATGTCACTAAAGTCCTTAGCTGATACTTGGCTGGAAAAGGCATCCCCTCTATTTGAAGCATATAAGTCATACTCTAGTGACTTTCATGAGTATTTAGAGATCACCCAAATCTCAAAGATTGTGACCAGCAGTCTGACTCATATAGGTGTGTTCCTTAAAAGATGTTCTGTAGGACAACATCTTTGCTTTAGCAAGCCACTTGAAACACATTAAGGTAAAAACCATCCTGTCTTACAGATAGGAAAGATGTGCATCAGAGATGAGTCTTGCTAAGGATCTTTCCTCATAATTTACTACTAGCTTGTTTCACCATCCTACTTCACGGGATCTCCGATCACATAGAACAGGTTATCACTATAGTAAATTTCAAGTGGGTCTCAAACCCATCTCTCTCGATGCACTTTTTATCACATTGCGTGACAGACCCTTAGTGAATTAATCTGCCAGATTGTTAGACGTGTGAACATAGTCCAACGCTATTACTCAGAAGTTTCCCAATTTTTTGATAGATTTTAGTTGTCTCTTAACATGCCTTGTAGACTTCATGTTATCCTTAGAACTGTTAACCTTTGTAATCACAGTCTGGTTATCACAGTTTATAGAAATAGTCGGTATGGGTTTTTCAACAACCGGTAAATTCATAAGGAGATCATGAAGCCACTCGGCCTCAGAGCCAGCGGTGTCTAATGCTGTGAGTTCTGCTTCCATTGTAGACTTCGTTAAGATAGTCTGCTTGCAAGACTTCCAGGAAACCACGCCACCTCCAAGCGAAAACACATATCCACTTGTGGCATAAAGCTCATCAGCATCAGAGATCTAGTTGGCATCACAATAGCCTTCCAACGCCTTTGGTATCCGGTATAACGAATACCATAGCTCATAGTGCCTTTTAGATAGCGCATTACTCTTTCAAGAGCACGCCACTGATCATCTCCCGGGTTTGACATAAACCGGCTTAGCTTGCACACAGAAAATGAGATATCAGGCCTTGTTGCACTAGCAAGATACATGAGCGAACCAATAATTTGGGAATATCTCTACTGATCCCTTGCTATTATCTGATTTTTCCTCAATAGCACACTAGGGTCATAAGGTGTAGGAGCAGGTGCACAGTCACTAAACCCAAAGCGACTCAGCACCTTTTCCACATAGTGGGATTGTAACAGAGTTACCCCACCATCACCTTCTCTCAGAAGCTTGATATTAAGAATAACATCAACCTCTCCCAAATCTTTCATCTCAAAATTATTAGTTAAGAATTCCTTCACCTCCTCAATCACTTTGAGGCTGGATCCAAAGATCAGTATGTCATCAACATATAAGCACAAAATGGCTCCTTCACCCCCACCATAACGATAGTACACACATTTATCAGCTTTATTCACAACAAAGCCGACAGATGTTAAAGTTCTGTCGAACTTCTCATGCCACTGCTTAGGAGCTTGTTTTAGGCCATATAATGACTTTAATAATTTACACACCTTACCTTCTTGACCATTTGCTACAAACCCATCTGACTGATCCATATAGATCTCCTCCTCTAACTCTCCGTTTAGGAAAGCTGTCTTAACGTCCATTTGATGAACGATGAGACCATAAGAGGCTGATAGGGAAAGCAAAACTCGAATTGTGGTCAATCGGGCAACCGGTGAATAAGTATCAAAGAAATCATCACCTTCCTTTTGAGTATAACCCTTGGCCACAAGCCTTGCCTTGTACCTCTTGATAGTACCATCAGGCCTAAGCTTTTTCTTGAACACCCATTTGCACCCTATAGGCTTGCACCCATAGGGACGATCAACTATTTTCCAAGTTCCATTAGACATAACATAATCCATCTCACTCCGTACTGCTTCCTTCCATAAGTCAGCATCAAGAGAGGAATATGCCTCTTCAACGGTCGTTGGTGTATCATCCACAAGGTACACAATATAGTCATCACCAAAAGACTTTGCAGTCCTCTGTCTCTTACTTTTTTCAGTGACTATAGTGTCATCCTCCTTAGGATTTTGCATATAGGGTTCTTCAATTTGTTCTATCGGAGTAAAAATTTTATGCTCATGGGGAATTATAAATTCATGATTAGTCGTGCTAAGTGCATTTTTCATGGGAAACTCATTCTAAAAAAATATAGCATCTCTAGATTCCATGATTGTATCAACAGCCATCTCAGGAACACTAGAATTTATAATTAAAAATCTATAACCCACGCTGTGAATAACATAACCAAGAAAGATACAATCAACAGTCTTTGGTCCCAGCTTTCGCTTTTTGTTTATTGACACATTCACCTTTGCCAAACAACCATAAGTTTGCAGGTAAGAGAGATTTAATCTCTTGTTCTCTCATTCCTCGAATGGTGTAATTTCTTTATTCTTTGTGGGCACTCTATTCAGGACATGACATGCTATCAATATAGCCTCACCCCACTATTCCTTAGATATTCACGCAGTCTCTAACATGGCATTAACCAAATTAGTTAGACTGCGGTTCTTTCTCTCTGCAATCCCATTGGAATGTGGTGAGTATGGTGGCATCCTCTCATGAATAATTCCATGCACCGCGCAAAACTCAGAAAATTCATTTGAGAAATATTCTCCCCCGCGATCGGACCGCAAACGCTTGATTTTCTTCTCGAGTTGATTTTCTACCTCAGCTTTATAGACTTTAAAATAATGCAACGCTTCATCTTTAGTTTTCAATAAATACACATAGCAAAATCTAGTACAATCATCTATAAATGTCATGAAGTATCGTCTACCGCCTTTGGTCAATTCGCCATTCATTTCGCATAAATCAGAATGAACGAGTTCTAATGGTGCCAAGTTTCTCGCCTCAGCAGCCTTGTGAGGCTTGCGCGGTTGCTTCGATTGCACACACACCTGACACTTAGAATCTTTGACTAAGTTAAATTTTGGGATTAAATTTAGATTTGCAAGCCGCATGAGACAACCAAAATTAATGTGACAAAGTCGTAAATGCCAAATATTCGACTCATTCGAAACATTAACATTGTTCACCACTTTATTACACACATCATCAAGCAAAGATAAGCGGAACAAGCCTCCGCAATCATAACATTTTCCAACAAATGTTCCATGTCTGGACACAACACACTTATTGGACTCAAGCACAATTTTAAAGCCATCACGACACATCTGAGAAGCGCTAACAAAATTCTTCTTGATGGAGGGGGCATGCTGCACGTTCTTTAATAGCACCGTCTTTCCCAAAATAAACTTCAGAACGACCGTACCAGCACCAAGAACACGCGCATGCGAACCGTTTCCATTAGCAAGGCTCTAGTCCTACCGGCCTGATAGGAAGTAAACAAAGAAACATCAGCACACACATGAATATTAGCACCGCTGTCCATCCACCACTCAGGTGAAAGACAAACTGAGAGAACAAAAGGTAAAGAATTACCATACCCAGATGTTCCTCCTCCAGTCTCGCTAATCACCACGTTTGCTGATTTCTTTTCTTGCTTATATTTGCGGTCTGGGCACGCACTTGCCCAATGCTCATCACTCCCGCAAACAAAGCAACCTCCACCTTTCTTGTTGTTTTTCTTCT